TCCAAGGTTTTGAACTGTCCAGCAGGAGGTGTCCAATTAGATTTATTCTTGACTAAACAAGTAAATTCATCTTGTTCTTTAGGCAGGATGTTTTGGTTATGAAAACGGGCCTTCAGTCTTAATCTCCGATAAAAAAGTTCTAAATCGCTCTTCACTTGGAAATCATCAACAAATTCACGTTTAGGATCAAACGAAAGTCCTTTAGAAAGAACAGACCTTTCATCATCGGTGAGATCGAGATCAGATGGGATAGTAACAACAAGTTTAGATGTATCAGGTAAACTAATAGTAGCATTGTTCGGTTTTTGTTCGGATAATAGCCTGTCCAGTTTAGATTGTTTAATAGCAGTGAGACACTCATAGTACTTTCGGTTAAGAACGTGGACCGTATGGCGAATATGGTTGAAGTCGGTATAGTTGCATGATTCCTTGATTAGATTAAGAAAACGTTCCATCCTGTCACTATTGATGTTACGGCTCCTTTGAAATTACCGTAGACTGGATTGCATAAGTCGTCTGGAACAATCCTGAATGTGTTTTGATACAGTGTCCGGATGGACATTGGCGATAGATGGTTTCCAGTTAGATCGAAATCCAAACGGGATGATGTTACTTCTGAGACAAGTGGAAATAAAATTAACATGGCAAGCAAATCTTGATTTATTGAATGTCGACGCTCCATATTGAAAAGCGAAATGTTCCAATGTCGTAGGATAATTCTTGAGTTTATCGGCGAGTTCCCTGCGTAGTTGAGGTAAAATATTCTTTGGATCAGACATATGACTAGTTGAGGTGAGAGGACATGAAGAAGTAGATATATACTGGAAGTTGCAGCAGACTTGTATTGTGAGAACATAAATAAAACTTAAAAGCTGCATCGGCAAACATATATATATAAAAATAAAAACTTCAGGAGAGGTGTCTAGTATTGCCAAATGTAATATATATGTAACATATATATATATGTTATATATGCATATTTGAAAATGATATCTAGAAGTTTATTCGATATTATTGCCTTCATACCATTACTTGAATGTGATATTTAATTTATTTCTACATAATTTCATTTATACTAAAGTTATCTATATACTTTTCTTAATTTTTCTTGATTTTTCTTTTACTTCTTTTCACTTTCTCCATTATATTCACTTTCTATACTTTTTTATTTAATTTCCTTTCCAGTTTTTTCTTTTCCTTTCTGTTCTTTATTTTTCTTTCTTTAATTTTCTTTTCTGTTTCTTTTCCCTTCAGATATTTACATACGTTTATATATCATTTGAAAATGATAATTAGCCATCTCATAGACATGAGGTCTATTAGATATTAGTGTCTTCACACCATTAATTTGAATATTTGATTTATGTTTACATAATTTCATTTATGCTAAAACTAGCTTTAATGGAGATGATGTTTAATATCTGCATCTATCTCTCTGCCCAGGGAAGATTGGATGACTGAGTAGACTCAAAAATCGAAGAGGTTTTAGGTTTTAATTCAAAGAAAATACCACTATGGCACTTGCCACCTAATTTTCGCCTCGGATTTTTCCACTAGAGGATTTTTTTTCCATCCAGCTATTTTTCCAGGCTTTTTCTTGAGGCTGTTTTCAAACTGCTATTTCCCCCGGCTATCTTGTCCCAGTATTTTGCATTGTATTTTTCCTCCTAGTTTTCCAACTGAATGTTTTCATCAGTTTATCTATTGTGTAAGGTGGAACACATTATTTGTTTATGCTTTTGTTTTTGTTTTGTAAGGTTACATCATAAATGTGTGCCGATAACAAAAAGCCTCATCCAATCAATTAACTGATTGACTTTTGATGTATTTGAAATACTAATGAAGCCAAAAGACTCATTGTAGAAACGTGATTTTAAAAAGTTTGCTTCGTGTTCACACAAAAAACAGGAAACCTCTTTTTAACATTGAGTACTCTTTTGGACAATAAATAACATACCTATTTATTTCCTGGTCGGTCTATATATCCTACTTATGTTTTGCTGCATCAGCTAATAATAATCTGGTAAGGAGTGGAAATATTATTTCCACCATTAAAATGTCTGGTAGTGGCCATTCTTGTACTATGCCGAACATTTTCCAGTAGGTTTTATTGGGTTAACTCACAAGCTAATCTATATGATATTCAATTGGTGTGATATGTGCTGTAAATATGAATATATAGGCTAAAATTAATTATTTTGGCGGCCATATTAAATTTCAAGATGGCGGACATTTTGAAATTTAATATGGTGGTCTTCTGACATAATTTCTGATGGCTTGATTTATTAATAACTGATAGTCACACCACGATTCATGATGTTAATGACCTTGGTTTCTTGTTTAGTGATCATAAAGTTATTGAGTTTAATGTTCTTGTTAATACATCAGTACCTACTTCGAAGTTAGCACCTGATAACCGCATTAAATGTCGTAGCATTAAGAATATTGATATTGTTAAGCTTAATGATTGTGTTAGTGCTCTTGGTACTAGCATAGTTAACGATTCTTTGTGACTGTCTGTAAATGACTTTACGTCATTACTGCATACTAATCTGTGTTCAATGCTAAATGATCTTGCCCCGATTAAGGAAATTTTTGTTAGGAATAAAAACAATAATAAAACATGGTACTCCAATCACCTCAGAGAAAGTAAGAGATCTCTGCGTCGGCTTGAACGTCGATGGTGTAACACCAGATTAGATTCTGATAAAGTACCGTGATATTACACAACTTAAGGTATTTAACAAAAAACTAAAAGACACAAAAAACAGTTACATCACAAGTAAGATTAATGATTGTTCGGGAAATCAGAAAAAGTTGTTTAATTTTGTAAACAAACTAATAAAGGGCATCCCTAAAATTTGTTTTTCCTCTCATGAAAACCTCTCTCAGCTTGCGGAACAATTTTCAAAATTCTTTCATGATAAAATCATGAATATTCGTCTTCGTTTATCACAATTGCAGCTTTCTCTATTGTCTCATCCATCAAATGTTTCAATTGTAACTGCGCCACTGGAGTCACTGCACACTAACGATGCTTACATTTTTTCTTCATTTGACACTGTTGACCATAATGCCATTGAGATGTTAATTTTGTCCTCGTCATCGGCTACTTGTTCATTAGATCCCAACCCTACAACACTTCTTAAATCTTGCAGAGCCAGTATTGCTCCAGCCATTGCTTCCTTAACCAATAAATCTCTTGAAACCGACTCTTTTCCGGATAATCTTAAAAGTGCTGTAGTCACCCCTATTTTGAAGAAACTGTCTCTTGATCACCAACAATTCCAGCATTTTAGGCCAATTTCTAATCTTCCTTATCTTGCCAAACTTATTGAAAAAGTTGTTTCCTTACAGTTAATTTCATATCTTACTCAATTTAATTTGTTTGACCCCTTTCAATCGGCATATAAGACTGGTCATAGTATTGAAACTGCCCTTGCTAAAATACACAATGACATTACTGTTGCTCTAGATAGGAAACGGGTCGTTGCCCTTATACTCTTGGATCTTTCAGCGGCTTTCGACACTGTTGATCACAATATCCTACTTCACAGATTATCCTCACAGTTCTTCATTTCTGGTACGGCTCTAAACTGGTTTGCATCATATCTAATTAACCGAACTCAATCTGTAGAAATAAACAAAATTAGATCTGATCCCCAAATTATTGAATATGGAGTTCCACAAGGCTCAATTCTTGGCCCCCTTCTTTTTTCCCTTTAAATATCACCTCTATCCGAAATTATCAAGTCCCATAACCTTTATTATCACATTTACGCTGATGATATCCAAATTTATATTGATTTTGATCCCTCTGATACTGACTTCATTCAAACACGTCTCGAAACCTGCCTCCACGACATCCACAGTTGGCTGTCCAATAGCATGCTTATGCTAAACGAAAATAAAACTGAATTCATCATCTTCGGCACTAATAAATCTAGCTCAAGAATTAACATCAACTCACTCCATATTGGCTCATCTATCATTAAAACTTCCTCTACCATTTCCAACCTTGGCGTCACATTTGATAACAAGCTTTCCATGCAAAATTACATTGGTAAACTCATAAAATCTGTTAACTTTCATCTACGTAATATAGCACTTATCAGAAAATACTTATCAAAACGAACTACGGCTCTGATTATTCACGCTTTCATT